CATTTTACCCCCCTCCCCCCCTCCCGAGGGTCCTGGAAAAGTGATGTTAACCGAAGAATCAACTTCAAACGGCCTTATTCGCAAATTTTTGCCCAATAATGTATACTTATTTTGTAGGATATATCACTCACCCTCTTTATTCTCTTTCCTGTATTTCATTTTCTTTTTTCTTTGATTTTTTTTTTTTTACTCAAATTCACATACTACCATGTGACTGTGGTGTTTCATTTTATCATGTGGCTGTGGTGTTTCATTTTATCAAGCGGTCATTAGATTCTTGAGCTAGGATTACACCAACTCCAGAAATAACAAAACAATGATCACAGAGCTGGCAATAGTCTGTGAGCTATGATTGGTCCAATTTAAGCCTTCATTTCGATGTTCATTTCTTTTTTCCTTTTTTTAGGGGGAACGAGTAGGGTGGGTGATAAAGCTATTCTATCAATATTGGAAGCAATAGCGAAACCAAAGCGAAAGATCAATACTAAAATATGATCTTTCCTTAAATCCATATTTTTCCTTTACAGGAATTTACATTATCGTTATGGGATCTTCAATGTCCTTCCCGATATATACTTGATCATGTGTTATAGCATGATCTCGCAATAATTCTGGCCTTGTCACTTTGATAAACCACTAAATATCTCGAAAAGGAATTTTACTTTATGTTTTTTTATAATATATATTATATACAATATATTTTTTTTTAATTTATTCAGGAAATTTTCACATTTATTTAGCATATTAAATAAATGCGTTTTATTATCTTGGGCTTTGCTTCCACATCTTTCGAGCAATAACAAAAAAAAACTAAAGTCTTTTTGATAAGAAATACTAAGCTATAAACCGCTTTAAATGTGATTAAATCAACTCTATACTTTTAAACCATAACGTGTTGTTTTCTAATATTTAACAAAATGATAAATTTCATCTCCCAACAATGCTTATTCAAATCTATTACAAACTGAAATAATATTGACCGGCTTTGGCCTATAGTTCGTATTAACAGTATGCTGCCGTATATTATATCCGCGCTTAACTTATAGATTTGTTAATATAAAAGCAAATAAAAAGAGTGGCATGCTTGGCTGAAGAAAAAGCCAGCTTTTTTGAACAGCCACTATATATATAAAAGCGAAAATTGAATATTAAATGAAAAAAACATTGATATTTAAATAAACAATTATGACATTAAAATTTTCATGCACAGAAATTCAATGTAATAATTCTATTAGTAATCCTAGAAGCTTGTAAAGTTTTAGACTTAGGCCAGACCTTCTCACAAAAGGGGGGGGAAGCTGAAGGGAGTTAATTATAAAAATTTTTCCAAATGATCCGTGATATTATAAAACTTTTCCGAAATTTTCCGCACATATATGAGGGGAAGGCAGAAGAGGGGGGACGTAAACCACTGGTCTGGCCTTATTTATAGGATTTTGAAATTCCCATAAATTAAATCCAAAGTTTTCCAGTTCTTTAGTTGTTTCATATTTTGATTAATTATTGTCGCGGATCATAATTTAAAATGAAATCTACATACTACTCAACCTGTTAACCTTCTAAACCCCACTTATACTTGCTTATTATAACTTTACTTTAAAACTAACCCCTAACCCTAACCCCTATCCATAAAAAATGCGCCCCAAAAAATTTTATTTTTCGAGATTTTATATCTGGATTTCATTATGATCCGCCACAATTATTAGTTAATAACTTAAAGTTTAAGTATCGAGAAATTATCGTGTTATGTCAACATCAGAGTCAACTAGTATCAACATTGAAGAAGACAAAATAGAAGAAAAAATAGAAGAAAAATGAAAGAAAAATGAAAAGAACTATATTTAGCTTTTAGCTCAAAAGGCGATTTCATAGTTGAATTTGGTAAAATTTCAATTTATCGTAATACACTGCTTATAATATCATATTCTTTTGTAATTCTTAATTTGTATACAATTTTTAGTATTATTCGAGGATGAATCAGAAAATGAATTGAAATTATCAAAATTTGTATTTCGTGTGTTTAATGTTAATAGGAAGTCGGATCATAACGATAAATCCAAATCGGATCTGAAATATAAAGGTAATTTATCGTACAGAAAACCTTCTTATATCACTATCTCAAAAATATTAACATTTACGAAGAAGCATTCCAAGTTGATTAAGTCACAAAACAAATTAGGTTGGTCAATTGCTGTGTCAAATAAATTAATCAGGCTCAAATTCAAACTATATGAATTAACTGTTAGATTATTAGCGATATCATGTATAAACGAGCAAGATATGAAATGTGTAAGCAAGGATGATATGTCACTTGATGAATTTATTGAAGGCGCTGGATTTACTGTGATTTTTTCTATTAGCAATGATTTTTTAATTGAACAAAAATTTGATAAATATGGTAATCAAATTATTCTCAACAAATGAAGATATTGATAGAGATGGCCAAAACACCAAAAAAGCTAATGAAACTGACCAGAATATGGATATCAAAAAGGCCGATAATGATAATCAGAATATAGATAAATACTTTCTTATTATTTAAATGCCTCTGGGATTTATAAATATTACACTGTACACTTGAATTACAACTCTACAGACGAAATTCAAAATTTATTAAATTGCTTAAAGCGAATATATAATATTATGGGTCGCAAAATTTTCAGCGACCCTAATTTTAATTTGAATATTGACGAATTCAAAAATTAAAATATCCAAAGCAAATATATAATGTCATAGACCATAATAACAAAATTTTAAAAAACCGGCTAATTTTAATTTGAAATATATTCTAAGATATTTAAATAAGTATTATTTTTTAGTGGATATCATACGTGAGGGTGTGAGATACATTTAACTTTATAATTTAAAAACAAACCAATTAGTAAATATCTTTCAAAGACAAAATTTAAACGATCTGAATTATATTGCGGATATTTCTAATAATTTCGCAATATCAAACAATAACAAATTATTATCATATAGATCCGGAATTCAGATAAAAATATACTCGATTAAAGTGGTCTTGAACTAGCATCTATAGAAATAAAGCTTGAAACCGGCAAAACATATCATTCAAAATATTTATGGTCTATCTAGAATATTTTCGGCTTAACTCAAAAATCAATTCAACTCAAAAATCAATATGAGTTAGATCTTGGAATTCATAATATTACGTGTGAGCTTAATAATTATCAACTGGTATAATCAAACTCTTTTATAATAGTCCTTGCTAATAACACGAAAAAGAACAAAACGAGTTTACAAAGTCAAGAAAATTTATGATAATTTAATCTTAGAACATTTAAGGAAGAATGGTGCGAACAATGCTCGAAGGTTCTATTGCAAAAAAAAGACAATCACTGTTCGAATTACACAAAGACTATGACATAATTGAGCTTTGGAAATTGCCTGGTGTTCCGCAACATTTGGTTTATCTCGATGACAAAAGAAGGTTTTACTTTTGATTGGAAAAAACACGGTTCAAGTTTGGCATAAGCGAGGTGAAAAAAGAACTCTTGAATTTATTAGTGTGATCAATAAGGATTATAGCAATGATGTTGAAAGAATTCAATTAGTTGAAAGAGGGATAATATTGATATAATCAATGCTGTTAAAAAAGCTTGTCACACTCTTAAATATTTATATCAGATAAATTAAAAGCCTGATCATGTTGTAGGATTAATCAATAAAAGTCGCTCCTTAAAATACCAAAAGTAGTCGAACAAATACGAAATATTATTATGAGATTTATTCAGCGGTATCCGATTGTTTGGCGATTATTAGATTTCGCTTTAATTAAGTGGGCATTCTCATTGATGCGAAGGAATATTTAGTCATAAAATATATATTACAGTATTTAGCAAAATAAAGATGCCGACGATACCGATGATCCCAATAATCCCGAAAAAAAAACACATTCATAAAATCCTCAAATCGATAAGCTTGAAATCAAAAAACAACCTTTATATGAGAAATCACTCCACATGCCACAGTATAAATCGTGGGAAGGTGGATATAGTGTGCTTCATAAAGCACTTTTAAGTTGGCCTATTTAAATTTATGCTAATTAGTTGTAAACGCATTTTACATATTAGATATTAATCTATTAATATTCTCTTCAATAGATGATGATCCAATACCTTTAGGATATTTTAGAATATTATTCTAATAAAGCAGTATATGTTTTTGGAGTTCATATTTTGATTTTCAGGTTTTTTATGCTTGTAGATTATATGGATTAAATTTTGTTTATTTTGCTAAGTAGTTTTTAATATAATTATGAATTTGTGCTAGCTCTGTAATTATAGAGTCTGTCAATGAGATATTTTGAAAGATGACAGAATATGAATATATCTGTTAATTATATTATTAATTATTGTAGTTGTGCTAGTTGTAAGTTAACATTGTGCTTTTGTATTTGAGTAGTAATATGCTGGTTAAGTGCCTGTTTGTTCTCTATTTCTTAGGGTTTTTCTAAGTATCTTGAGAGTATTAATAGTTGAATCAAGCTATTGGTTGCTAATATTTTGTAATGTAAGTACTATTATATAATAGTTTGTAAGTTGTTGTATTGTTTGCAGTTTGTGGTTAATAACAGTAATAGTTTGCTGGAAGTTATTTAAGTTTCTATCTGGTTAGGTTTGTATACTAACTAGTTTTTGTAAAATACTATATATAGGCTTAAGGTTGCGCAGAATTTTGTTGCTATAACAAAAAATTTTTTGAATTGGTTTTGGAATTTAAGATAAAAGATATATGTAATTTGACTATTTTAGTAATAGAGTTATTGATGTAATGCCAAGGTTGGTTTACTGAGAGTGTTTTTATTTCTTTTTTTATTAACTAGTTTCTTTTGGGCTAAGGTTTTTATTCAAGTTTATTGAGTGGAAGATTTGCAAAAGAACTTTATTAGAGAGTTATACTAGGACCCCGAAGATCTCTGATATAACTCAGAGGTTACTAAAAAAGGAAATTTTGCATAGAAATTCATCAAACGTTGCATTTTTATATAGTAAATTTTTAATTTTTGGCCTATTTTATATGCCTATTTGGCTGATATTATACAAACTCAGATCTAAGCTGTATCAGAGATCTTCGGGGTCCCGTTATACTAGCTACTCATACACTTTTTATATCTATTTTAAGTAGTTCATCTACAATTTACATTATAAATTCTACACTAGATGCCATATCTGTAATTCAACTATAGATGTTATCTATTTAAACTCTTTGTAATGCAATTCTGCTTGTATAATTAGTATATCTTTGTTACAATCATTAGTCAAGAAGTTCTGAATAAACAAATTTAAATACTACTTTACTAAAATTTGCAAAATTTGCAACTTCAATACTACTAGTAATTAATTTGTAATTAGCTATAAAGTAACTATATAGCTACTTTATAGTAGCTATAGTTTTATATTTACTTCAGGTTAATAATATATTTACTACTGCTTACTACTACATTACTACTATTTACTACTATTTTACTATATTTTTACTATATTTTTACAAAAAATTTTTGTAAAATTGTAGTAAAAATATAGTAAAATAGTAGTTTTTAAAAAAAATTTTAGTAAAATAGTAGTAACACAGTAGTAAGCAGTAGTAGATATATTGCTAACCTGAAGTAAATATAAAACTATAGCTACTATAAAGTAGCTATATAGTTACTTTAAAGCTAATTACTAGTTAATTACTAGTAGTATTAAAGTTACAAATTTGCAAGTTTCAGTAAAGTAGTTATTAAGTATTTTTTTTTCTAATCTACATATTTTGTTTTGATATTGGGCTGATCTAAGATTATTAAAATTTATTTATTTTGATTAGTTATTTTATAGGCTATATCATATTGTTGCTAAGTATTCAGACTATAAGTACAGTTAAATTAAACTAAACAATCGAATTTCAAAATTAAATACTATGCAAAAAAATACAATAAATTAAAATAAACTAAAAAATTAGATTATAAACTTAATATTTTAATTATAAAATTACTTTTTATATATTAATAAAAAGCTTGATATCAGAAAAACTTTTGCTTACTTAAATTAATAGCAAAACTTAACTCTAATCTAGTATTAAGATAATTGTGATTTTTGACACAATATTAATTATATATCTTATTTTAGTTTTACTGAATTTATTAAATAAATTCAAGTTAATATTAGACTATTTAATATAAATAGTTAATATTTTTAATTATTAATTAATATAATTTTTAATATATTTAAATTCTCTGATAGTATATATTTATTTTTTTAAAAACTATTTTTCATATACTATTTACTTGATATCACAAAGTATCACTTAATAATTAGATATAATTATAATTCTAAGCAAGAAAAACTTAAATATAATAAGATAATATAGTAATAAAAGCTAAAATAACTAATTAGTAATCATGTATGAAAAAATTAATTTTCAAAATTAGTATTACAAAAAAATATAACTATATTTAACAGTAAAATTAAATATCAAAATATCAAAAATATAAACAATATTGTATTGTTGATTATATTTTTATTTGAATCAAACATATATATATAACAAATAATTTTATAAAATTCTTTGCTAAAACTGCCAATTTAGCAACTTTAGAACTACTTTAGAATAGCTATAAAGTAACTATAAAGTAACTATATAGTTACTTTATAGTCACTATAGTTTTATATTTACTTTAGAGTATCAATATGCCTACTACTATTTGCTACTACTTTACTACTATTTTGCTACAATATTACTATATTTTTACTACAATTTTTTTTTAAAAAAAAAGGTTTAAAACTTTTTTTTAAAAAAAAATTTTATAAAATTTTAGTAAAAGTATAGTAATATTATAGCAAAGTAGTAGTAAAATAGTAGCAAGTAGTAGTAAAATAGTAGCAAGTAGTAGTAGGCGTATTGCTATTCTAAAGTAAATGTAAACTATAGTGACTACAAAGTAACTATATAGTTACTTTATAGTTACTTTAAAGCTATTTTAAAGTAGTTCTAAAGTTGCTAAATTGGCAATTTTAGCAAAGTTAGAAGATATATATATTACAATTACAAATAATAAACAAAATTAAATACTATTCATTTATGTAATATAATATAACTATTAATTATAACTATAATAGTCAAAATTGTTTTAACAAATAGTAAAAATAAAACTAAATTTAATAAAAGATAAACTAGATCTAATTCTGATAACATAGCAAAACTTTAGTAAAATAGTAAAACTTTAACAAAACTTCTAATAAAGTTAAAATTTCTGAAAAAAATCAAAGATCAAATCCTCTAAGATTTTAGAAAAGACTAACTTATATTAGTAAATCAAAATATTTTATATAAGGCTATTAAACACAATATATATTTTATTTAAAAATATACAAAAGTAATAAACAAAATAAAACTTTTTATTTATATTTAGTACTATTAAAGAAAACTAGATTTCTAGTTTTAGAACTTTGAGGTAGGTAAATTTTAGTTATAAAAATTCAAAGTTTAAAATCTTGTTTTCTCTTAGTAGCATTTATTTATATATTAATATTAGGGAAATTCTATTTTCACTCAGGTTAAAGTTACCCGATTTATAATATTTATTATACCTTATAATATGAATTCATATAATATCATAAAATTCATCTACCCTAACCTCGAACTAACTAATCTATAAAATTTTTAGTTGGATAGTAGTTTGTATAATATAATATAATAGAAATTATATATCAGATAACTTTAACCTAAGTAAAAATAGAATTTCTCTTAATATTATTTATAAAATAAATCTATTTAAATTTTAATATTACTAATAATTATTTTTGATACTCTAATTTATTAAGTTCTAAAATAATTTGCAAATCTGTATAATATATAAATCAAACAAATTTATATAAAATAAAATTAAAAGTAGTTTAAATTAGGATAAGAACAGACTTAAGATAGAATAAGATTAATTTATACCAAAATTTTACAAGAAATATTTTTATTAGTATCTAAAATATAGTTAAATAAATATTATAAACAGTTTTTTTATAAAAAGCAATAATTTTATATTATACTAATTATATAATCTGATTAGCTTTCTATATATCTATATATATAAAGTATATAAATAAAAATTATTTAATAATTATTGTAGCAAATTAAAATAAAATCAGATTAAAATAAAATGAGAGATAGTATAAAATAAACAAGCCACCAAAAAATACAAATTTTTGGGAGCATTTTTTGGTATTTTTTTAGGTTTAGGATTAGGGTTTAGAAACAGGTCTTATAATAAACAAGTATAAGTAGGTTTTAGGAGATCAAATAAAAACTTTTCATTTCATTTTAATCCAATTTCATTATGATCTGTGACAATTATGTTTATTTATATATTTATATTTATATAATAGAAAATTAATATTTTTATACACTTGTTAATATATATTAATATATATTATTAAAGTTTTAATTAAAGTTTAAAAGTTAGAATTATTAGCAGAGGTGTAATATTATCAAAAAAGAGTGTAAAAATATTAATTCTTATATAAAAAACTTCAATTACCTTTAATTTTTTTTTTTTTTATACAGTGAGGCCTGGCCTTGGTCTTTATTGAATAATTTATATGTTAT